TGTTGTCATTCTCGTTTGGAACGACGCCGGCAGCTACCTCAAGTGGGATGCAGCAGTCCCAACGACATCCGCAAAACAAGTATTTGACCCATGGAAGCCCGGATTTTTGGATATTCATCATCTCTACGTGGGAAGCAGTGTCTCCACGTTTATCATTTTGCCAGATTCCACCACGCTGCTTATCGATGCGGGACAAGTCAACCTGGAAAAACAACGCCAATGGTGGAAATCACTGGGACCGCCCTATGACAAGCTAAAGGCACTGGATCCAGTTCCAATTGCTTCCAAGAGTCCCTCCGAATGGATATTTGACTACATGACGGAATTTTGGCCTTCTTCCAAGCAACGACACAACCGAACCTTGGATTATCTCCTCGCGACGCATTTTCATTCGGATCATTTTGGAGAACCAAACAACAACAACAATTTGTCAGCCGTATCGCTGTCAGGGATTCCTTGGATTGCCAGCCAATTGCCCATTGGCAAGCTCGTGGATCGAGGATACCCTCAGTACGATTTCCCAAAGGACTTGAGGTCCGCGGGAGATGACAACACGAAACATTATATCGACTTTGTGGATACTACTATTGCTACAAAGCAGTCCAAAATATCCATGGAGCAGTTTCAAGTGGGAAGCAAGACACAAATTCGACCTCTGCACGGACAACAGCAAGAGGATCTTGTCATTCAAGTCATTAAAAACAACAATCTGGTGGTGCAAAATAATGATAATGACGAAGCAACAACAACAATAGCACAGATTAACGGAACGTTTCTCGATGAACACGGACAATGGAACGAAAACGCCCTGAGTGCTGCTTTTGTTATTCAATATGGGGATTTCCGGTATTACGAAGGGGCAGATCAAGAAGTGGTACGCGAAAAGCACGGTAATACTATCCTGTTGGACACGATTGGACCCACGGCCCGAGCGGCTGGTGCCGTCGATGTGGCGAGCTTGAATCATCATGGACATGGTGTGACTGCAGAGTTTGTCGACGTGATGGATCCACCCGTGGTGGTTCTTCAGGGGTGGTGCTCGGATCAACCCAAAAGTGAGAGTGTGCGACTGCTGCAATCTCCGAGTCGTCAGATATTTGCCACCCACGTATTTCCCGAACGATTGAATGCCATGGGACCAGAGTTGGCGAGACTCTTTGCTTCCACTTGGGGGCACGTTGTAGTTCGAGTCCATCCTCCTGCTGCCGACGATCCGCAACAACCGCAAACATATGAAATTTTCGTGTTGGATGGACAGCGACAGTTGAAATCATATCATGGTCCTTACACTCCCAGGAAAAAGAAGCATTGAACCGACAATACGCTACCACTCCAGACACAGGGACTGCTTGCTTCCAAGGTGGCTCGTGCAGTTTGGGCTTGAGTCGCTCCAGTGATGCTTTCCAACATGCGCCCCAATGTGGACGGAAGAGCCGTTTTCGTCGTTGTTTCGGCCCGAAGCAGCATCTGGGGATTGCGGTGTGTATTCTCAAATGCAAAACTGCCACCTGTGTAATGCCGATCATGGAGAAAGACTTCACTACCAGAAATCTCCTTGCCGTACGACCCATCAGCCCCTCCAATGAATTCTATGGTGCCTGCAGACAGAGGCCAAGATCTCTATCACACCCGCGCTGGTGACGACAGAAGAGTCCAACAACACGAGCCGCCTCAAGCCATTGCCATGAATCAACACGAGGGAGGGATAATTTTACTTAAATAGTCGCTCTTTGCTGCGACCCTAGGAGCATTAAAATATCTGAATAGTTTGACAGAGGAACCTGAGCCCCACAAGCCTTCAAGCAACACTCTTACAGTATGTTAATTTTATGTAAATCAGTCGCTCTTTGCTGCGGCCCTAGTAGGTGCACTGAAATATCTGAATAGCAGCCAAAGACTCACAGCTCCCATAATAAACCATTTGGTGGATGCAAAGACACACGCTTCATACATCATTTGATCGGGAGCAATGACGCCATTGTTTGAATCAAATGTGATGGATTTGTGCCGAACATTCTCCAGGATATCACACAGGGCGGCTGAGAATATGACAAGGACTCCTGATCTCCCAACGAAAACTGGATTGATTGTTGATTCTGTATTGGCGTTTTCCTGTCGGTGGATGAGATCGTGCAAAAATGCGGATGTATAGAACAGCGCGTAGAGGATTGGGTGAATCCACAAATCAATCAGAAAATGATGTTCAAAGTTGTGAATGTCTCTGGTGGTCCATTTTTCAAGCACTTGGCGAGCTGCATGTCCTGTTGCAGCTGGATCTGTGGGATATCTCAGGCACATCGTTTGCAGTCTTCCCACGTCTTCCCCTGTTTCGCCAAGTGTCATGATGATCCATCCCTGCGACAAGACAAATAGAGCCAAAAAGAACTTGACGGCAGACCAAGAGGAGAGGCTCCTTTCCAATCCTGAGAAATGCGGTGACGCTGTCATGGTTGTCGTCAACGATTCAAATTGTTGTAATGTTTGAGAGCAGATCAAAGCAAGAGGTGGGTTTGCAATAGGATGGTTTTGTGGTTTTGTGATGAAGCTTCGAACTCGGACCGAACGCAAGCTACCAGCCCCAAGACCATTATTATTTGTGACCACCATTATCGTGCTGACTGGTCCAGGGAATACCACGGAACAGTTCTTTTTGGCTTGACACGAAAAAGTCACTGGTGAAACCAATCCGGAAATGCCATAAAAACAGCATGAAACAACACACATCAAAAACAAGCCACCTTCCATCATTTTTTCTCATCACACCTCCCACCTCTAAAGTAGATGTACTTTGCCACTCTCATGGTAACATTCAGAGGGTACTCCCCATTACTACTTTGTCAATATTAACATGACGGTCGCAGCGGTTTTATCTAGAAGTCCATTTAGTGGCTATGTAGTTACTCAGGGGCTAATAAACTGGAGGCAACCATTTTCTCCTCTTTTTGGGTGCTTCCTGCATCAGTGGTGGTTGTGGAAGCCATTTCATAAGCCAAGACCAACTCTACATCCCACAGTGGCAATACCAATGAATACAAAGAACTGTGGCATGCAATGTAGCACTTCCTGCGGTGCACCATAGATGATTCATCCCTGGCCAACAGGATGGGAAGTTTGTCGCCAGTCAACAAACTAGACGATTGATCGAAAGATGATCGCGACTGCTACCACTACTTTAACATCAACAAATAGTCGCTATTAATACTACAACAGCAACAAGCCATCGGTCGTTGATACCGATACTGATACCGATAGCGGCAACAGTGTCGGCAACCGTATCCGTATCCTGTCGGCACTCGGAGCTTGGAGCAAGAGATGAACGACGAACGACACCTCAGAAGTCCATATGAACACCATAACATCATTATCCTGTAGTGCACCTACTAAGGGAACTGTAGAAATTGTTTTCTCACAGTTGCTCATACCGGTAGCTCACAATAGTTTTCATCATGCTACAGTCAGCCCTCGCTCTTATTTATAATCTCTTATTTATTCCCTCTATTATATTTATTAAATCTCGAGATCCCCCCCCAGTCATGAGTGACCGTGACTGCAGTCATGAGTGACCGTGACTGCAGCAACAAATCTTTCGAGCAGCCCGACAACGTCGCACAATCCATTCCAACCGTTTCAATTTGACCGAGATGGCATGTAAAATGCCGATATAGATCCAATGGACGTGGGATTCCTCGCACCTCTGCGGTACCTCTGCACGCACCTCTCAGAGGCTGTCTCGTCGGTGCCAGCCCAAGCCCTGGTTGCTTACGTGCATTTTTGGAAGGATGGTTTTGACCAGACAAAAACAATTCTTGTGAGCTGCCAAACAATTTCACGCAAACCATACCAAAGGCTCCAATCCGACCTAGACCAACATGAACGACGCCGATTGGGCTGCTAAGGCAGGCAAGCGAAAGCGTGATAGCTCCCTTCATTCGTACTTTACTAGCAAATAAGGCCCTAGAAAACGCTTATATTTATGCCCTCCATTATATTTATCAAAGTCCAGGATACCCCCTCATAAATAAGAGAGAGGGCTGACTGTATTAGTACAAAGCATCCATCAGCATGGCTTGGCTGTTGACAGCAGCACATAACACGTGAACTGTGCAGGTATCCAAAATGTGGAGGGACTAAAGTCGAAGATTTAAAGGGGAAATCGAAAGAAGACTTAGAGAAGCAACCATTATCGTGATCATGGTCATCCAGCTGGTAGCAAGATCCAACCGGAATGCAGGCCGGTCCCGGGTGGTTGCTGTCCCGTGTCCGCTTCATTCGAGGCCAGCAGAGCTACTGGTACTAGTACCTGGTACCGCACCCGTTCGGCAAATAAATTGTTTCGTCTCCCCCACCTCGCACCTCAAGCACACTTCACCCACTCAGGGTCTTGTTGATCCTTTGGTGCCCCCAACCAAAGCCATGCCAATGGTGGAATCGTGCTTCAACCAGCAGCCATCCACGCACAACCAACCAATCCTGTCAGTCTTCTTGCAGTAGATGTCACTGTGACCAATTCACCATCTTTGCCTGGTGCCCAACCTGCATACACAACCAACCAACTTCATAAGGTCCATCTTCAAGCAACTAGGTAGAAGCTAGCCACCAAAAACAATGTTGTCTCCCAAGACTAGACTATCTTCAGGCTATCATTCAAGCTGACATCCTCCTCCTGGTACCCATGCTGTTGACCCTTCTTAGATCTTGGCAACCCAACCAATCATACAGAATTCTCTACGGCACAAAGCATCTTGCTGCTCTACCACCAACACCACATCTTTTGGCACAACTACCTTCCCCGATTTGTCAAAACTGCCTATAATAACCAACATCAATCTGCTCCCAAAGCTCTACTCCTTTATGTGCTACTAAGCACCTTCTCTCCACCCATTTCCCAACAGGTCAAATCTGCCCCCTGGTACAGCAATGACATGCTTTCCATGCTAGCTAGGGCTCAATCATAGGCTTTTAAAAGCCTACTTTGCCAAATATATGGAGCAGAGATACCCTTACATCAAAAACTTCTGTATGCCGTATGGGTATGACATACAAGAATCAATGTAGAGCAAACTTTTCTGAATTGGGAGGGGTTTTAGCTACTTCACTGCTGTTTCTATACCACCAACTTGAATTTCATCCAAGGAAAACTGAGTTTCATTCTCATATCTTTTCTTCAACAACTCTTCCAGCTTCTGGCAGAGCCTGGCCTTGGCTGCTTCCTCGCTTGGGATGTTGTAAAGCCTGTCTAACCTCCCAGCTGGAAACTTACATCCCAAGTGGATTTTGGATGTCAACTCTGTTGGAAAAGTAGGCTTTACCATGGCTACCAGCATATTCTGAAAAAGCAAATTGGTGGTTGAAGAAGACAAGTTGAAGGAAACTGTTCAGCCACAGCAGACAGACAGATTCAGAAATCTACATCTAACACAGGCAAACCAAGCAAACATTCTTACAAACGTCATGGGTGAGTTGAAGAACTTGAGTGCTTGATGCTTTGTGGGGTATACACTCCACCCCTCTCCAAGAGTACGGAAGCCTTCCAAGCCAATCATGTTGATGTTCAATTCGTTTCCTTCACATTCAACGAGCGCAGTGATGCCAGCTCTGACGGCCTGCAAGTCAGGATTCAGCAGATGAGGCAAATAGTAGAGCCACTGCATCAAGCCATGGCCCAACTCTGGTGATTCCAATACATTGGAATCGAGATTGGTTACATCACTGGATATGATGTAGCCTCCATGTTGGAGATTGAAGTCCACTGAAAGGATGTGGCTGCTGACATGGGCGCCCCAGATGTGTGAAAGGCCTTCCTCCAAAGTGCCACGGATACCGTGCTCCTGCTTGTACTCTTGCATCTGGCGGGCTTTCGACAAAGCCCAAGTTACGTTTCCCTCCCCGACAATGGCCAACTGGGCATAGAGCATGTCCGTGAAGTTGTCCAAATTTGTAGCACTTTCAATGGCTTGCTTGATGTCCAAGGCCCATTGGCGTTCTCTGGGTGAAAGCTGCATCCTGTCTGGGTTGTATCGGTTCAGGAGGATTTGCGTTGCATGAGAGATTCGGATACCAGTGGTCTCATTTGCACTGTCTGAGTGCTGTTCCGACTGGCTTGAATTGGCAACCGCCTCGTTGTTGACGGTATCGTTACCGACCTTCGAGAGTCCATCATCAGTATTGACCTTCGAGATTTCATCATCAGTACCGCTTGATGAACGTCCATCTTCGCAAATTGACAAGAGATCGTCGCAATCCATCTGCTCCTTAGAGTTTCCACCACTTGCCGATCCACCTCCCTCACCGCGACCACGAACAAGGGGTGCGGAGTTGAGGTCGTCTTCAGGTTTCTTCATGGCTTCTCCTACCTGAAGCTATCCTCCAACAACCCGTGCCACACATAATGAAAGGAAGCGTTGATGAAGGTATAGCATGGAAAGGGCAGCATTGCTCAATCAATGACACATTCAAGACGTAATCTGAATCTTTCAACAGTGGGACCAGTGACAAGGAATTGATGCAGCATATTTAAATATGATCCAGCTGCAGACTTAGGGCGGGCGTTGGTCTTTCAATTGTCTCCGATGATTGAAGATAGCTTTGGGCCAGCGGTGCCCCACGTACCGGTACCTTAGCTGGATATGCCGAGGGCATCTCTGCATATTGTCGACGGGTACCGGTACCATCATCCTCGACCAGTATCAGAGCTGGGGAAATTGGTGAATTGCTTGAGCAAGGATGCATGCGGGCTTGTAGCCCTCATTGCACTGAGGACTCGACTCTGGTACCTGTTAGCTGGTACTAGCCTTAACCTTAGCCGCTCGTGACCAAAGATCGATCGATCCAGAAGAGGGATGTCGTCATCAAAGGTTGGTTTTCTCTCGACGAAGAAGCATCACGACACCCCCATCCATGGCGTCTTCCAACGGTGCAAGGTCCACCGCAGAAAGCATTCACAACACTAGCTAGCGCTACTAGTCTAGTACCCGGCATAGTCAGCATTAGATCATCTGATAGCTACCTGGCTCTGGCACCCATAACTCGAGAAACGGTATCTTAATTCTGCATTTTTGTTTCGTTTGATCAGGGCCAAAGTCAAGATGGGCGAACCCGTCCAAGACGAAGATCTTTGGTCGACCGTTGTCCCGCACACTTCTCGTGCAGATCGCGGCGACATTCGTCGTGCATGTGATCCGTCGGTGCATCCTCAGTTGGGAGTGAGTGGTTGTCGAACGCTCTATGAAGGATTTCGCCTTGGCCAGGCCGTCAATCCAATGGGTCCCTGCATGGGATTCCGCGCGGTTAGTACAAGCGGCTTTGCCACGCCCTTTATCTATTCGAGCTACACGGAGTGTTTGGCGAGAATCAATGCCTTTGGAGCTGGATTGGAGCGCTTGAACTTGGTGCAAAAGAACGAAGATGGGATCATGGTGGTGGGTTTATTTCTTCCTTGAATCTTTCGTATTGTCGTGGGGTATCTCAATAATGATTTCTCCCCTTCTTCCTCTTCTTTCTTCCTTTATCTTGCAGATTGCCATGTACATGAAGAACTGCATGGAATTTGTGATTGCTGAACAAGGTATTTATTGCATTGGCGGTTGCACTGCTGCTCTCTATGATACCTTTGGACCAGCTGCTGCCCAATTCATTCTTGGTGAGACTGGAGCCAAGTCGGTGGTGACTACCCGAGCACAACTGCCTCGCCTTTGCGAAGCCAAGAAATCGGGAGAGTGCCCCATCTTTCAGTATGCGATTGTCGTTGACGGCGTAACACCAGCATCTGCGCAGATGGCCTCGGAGGCTTCCCTGGAAGTCATCTCTTTTGCCAAAGTGGAAGCTGTAGGGGCGCAGCGCATTGCCACAGAAGGTACCCACAAACACAATCCACCGTCACCCAACGATATTGCCACATTTTGCTACACTTCAGGGACTACTGGAAACCCCAAGGGAGCCATGCTCACTCATCAGAGCCTAATTTCGGCCATGGCGGGTATTCCTTCCGGGATGATTCCCGAAATCACGGATCGACACTTGAGCTACATGCCGCTGGCTCACATTTTCGAAAGGATTGTCATGAACAACATGTTCCTCTATGGAGCCAGTGTCGGATTTTGGCGCGGTGATCCTCTCTTGTTGATTGAAGATCTGCAGGCCTGTCGGCCTACACAGATGGCGGCTGCACCACGCGTCTTGAACAAAGTCTATGACAAGGTCGTCGCCGGAATGGCGGCTGCGGGTGGCATGAAAAAGAAAATCTTTGACGCTGGCATTGCGACCAAGTCTGCAAACATCAAAATGCATGGCCAATTGACTCATCCTCTGTACGACCGACTTATCTTCAACAAGATCAAAAAAGCCTTGGGAATGGATCAAATCCGCATCCTGATTAGTGGCTCGGCACCATTGGCGGAGAACGTCATGATGTTCTTCCGATGCCTGCTAGGATGCCCCGTGTTGGAGGGATACGGTCAAACGGAGGGTTGCGCCGCAGCCACGATAGTGCATGTGGAAGATATGACTACAGTGGGACACGTGGGAGGCCCTGTGGCCAGCATTGAGATCGTCTTGATGGACGTGCCCGAGATGGGATACCTACATACCGACAAAATGCACCGTGGAGAACCCTGTCGAGGTCGCGGCGAGGTTTGCATCCGAGGACCCAGTGTTTTCAAGGGATATTACAAGGATGAAACCAAAACTAAGGAGACAATCGACGAAGAGGGGTGGCTCCACAGCGGAGACATTGGTTTGTGGACTCCGCAAGGCGCGCTCAAAATCGTCGACCGAAAGAAGAATCTGTTCAAGCTTTCGCAAGGAGGTATGTACACTGCGTGGAACTGGTGTTGCTGAGGAGGAAGCGTCATTTTACTAATAAATTGGTTCTTGGCCTGAATATTGAAAGAGTACATTGCTCCCGAGAAGATTGAGAATATCTTGATTATGTCTCCGTTGATTGGACAGTGCTTTGTTTATGGCGACTCCTTGCAAAACTCCTTGGTTGCCATTGTTGTCCCAGATGAAGAACCTGTTCGTACCTGGGCTAATAATCAGCAAAACGACAATCGGCTGGCTCAACTACCCTTTGAGGAGCTTTGCAAATCAGAGACCTTGAAGGCTGCCATGGTGGCCGAAATCAAGAGTCTCTCCAAAAAAGGAAATCTCAACAGCCTGGAGGTCGTCAAAGCAATCCACTTGGAAGCTGAGCTCTTCTCCGTTGAGAACGGGCTTTTGACACCTACGTTCAAGATGAAAAGAAAGCAAATGAAGGACAAGTACGAACGGGAGATTGAGCAGATGTACGCATCCTTGCCTCCGCCAAAGAGCAAGCTTTAATTTAGTAGCTTTGTTTCATAGCTAGAAAAGTCTTTGGATAGTACCTACATGTAGCTAGAACATGTGAGTCCGAATGTCAGCCTTGACGAGCAAGTCATGGATTCGTACATTACTCCCTCAGCGCCCATAAAAAACCATGCCTCGACATTGTGTGCGTGAAACCTCCACTCCACCCGCCTCCAGGTAGCTCCGGTGTTCTAAAGGGTGACGGCAGCTCCCTTCCTTTGATCCATTTGCAAGCCGGGTCTGCGATGCACTTTTTCGGGCAACTTGCTAGTTGTCTGAGTATCGCATCTTCAGCCACACTGAGTCATTATCGTATTACAAGCAGCCCAATCTCAGAATCTTTCATATCTTGCTAGCAGCTATTGATACATACCCTACTACATGTACTAACCATGCGCTCAGGCAGTGAGGAGCCACCACCAAAGCCCGAACTGGCAAAGGTGCAAAGCCAAAATTGATGAAATCAAAGATATTAGTGTGTTTGCGCCAACACACACACACACTCTCTCTCTCTCTCTCTTCAAGGTTCAGCAACATCCAAAAACATCAATCTTCATCATCAGAATACCACAATGGGGTCGTCCACTACCAGAGACCGCCAGTAGTGATCACCCCACATTGGTAGCATGATCCCCAGCAGTATCAATCCGCCGTCGCATTTTACATCCGGGCGTGGAAGGATGAAAGCGTGAGAACGGTAATTGGCGGGAGTTGAATTTTGTTGCCAGCGAGCAACACAACAAACCATGCACTACACTCACCATCTCTGGGGTAGCCAAGCCATGCCAACAGCTACCGTAGCTAGTTGTCCCCTGTTTAAAAAAAATCATTTGAAAGAACTGTTCATGAATTGCAAGAGCTCCTTCCTGGCTCGTTCATTGGCCAAATCCTCCGCATCTTTTTCAATCTTCATCTTGATCTTCTTGCCGGAAATGGCGCTCCGCCTGGTCTTGCTCTCGTCACTGCTGCTATCCTCGTCAGACTCGTCTTTTCTTTTTCGTTTGCTACTGCTCTTTTTTCGTTTCTTCTTTTTCTTTTTGTTGTCTCGTGCTCTTCGGCGGCGGCGATCGTCGCTACTGGAGGAACTATCGTCATCGTCATCACTATCCTTTTGTTTGGAGCGTTTCCGACTGCTCTTCTTTTTGGATCTCTTCTTGCTCTCCTTTTTGGACCTTCGCCTGTCGTCTTCACTATCCGAGCTTTCGTCGTCATACTTCTTGGAGGATTTTTTCCGGCTCCTCTTGCGGTCTTTATAATCCTCCTCATCGGAATAATCGCGGCTAAGGCGCTTCTTCCCTACTCTCTCCTGGTTCTCTTGGGAAGACTTGGAGGATTCATCATCCTTTCGTTTTCGATCCTTCCTGTCTTCGTCACTTCCCATCTTGGCTAGCTAAGAATCAATTTGTCACTGCACTACTGCTTAAAATAGCAAAACTAATACTAGCTAGCTAGTATTACCACCGGCAGCTGCTTCCCCTTTGTTACCTTTTGTTTGCCCATTGCTTTTTGTTTTCTCAATTCAGTTGCAGAGAACCGGAAAGCGCCCCACCTCATTGATTTCGCAGCTTTGCCGTGTTGGTTTTCGAAGGTTAAGGCTTTTGGGGGGAGAAAAACGGCAAGCGGGCGGCGTTTGGATTGTCCAAGGACCATGCATTGAGCCAATCATTCACCAGTGCCTGCCATCCTCCAAAAGATCGACCATGGCCAAAGGCCCAAAAGGTATATATCGGCAGCCTGAATCGAACGAAGAGTATACTATAGTAAAACACAACAACAATGACACTGCTACAAAGCAAGTCACGTCTGGTGCTGCCACTCCTTGCCTGGATGGGATCTGCATTGATACAGCCGTTGAATGCTCAGCAGGCATGTGAACGGCTGAAGCAAACGCTGGAATACACCCAAGAGGAGGCTCCTCGTGATTTCACCAAGGTGGTAAGTTAATAGTCTGACTCTTTCAGTGGCATCTTCACGATTTTGATGAACTACCGGTACAGCAAAAATGCTGCCCTCTAACTTTTGCCGAAACCCGCCTGCAAATCCATTCATTATTTGTACGGTAGCTGAGCACTGTGACAGCCGAACTGAACAAAGTGTTGGATGGAGTGGTCGAAGTGGACGTTGAATGGAATGGCTCTGACTTGCACGGACGAGTGGGAGAGCACATTATCAATTGCAAAGTCAGTCGGTTAGCCGAACGGATCGCTCCTGAAGTCCTCCAAGGACTGGATGTGTTCACGGACGACCGAGGCCAGCAAGTGATTTCCCAATGCTTTCAGGTGCCCTTCACCATCTATGATACCAACGAATGCAAGCTACCAGAAGGCCATGATATGCGCCATCGGTGTCAAGAGCCCTCCATTTGTGTCAATACGATTGGATCCTACGAATGCATGTGTCCACGCCTAGACGGTAGTCTACCACCTGGAATACCTGTTGCAGAGGATGGCATCAATCTATATTCGCTCGATGTTGCTGGAGAGCAAGAAATGGATTTTTTCGAAGACGTTCTAGAGGAACCACGAAATCGCTGGGAAGTCTCCAATAATACTGCCAGTTCTTCGGCTTGTCGCTCTCGGGCTTCCACTAGAGGATGCTGTCCCGAGAATGCCCACTCGCGGGATGGAAAGGATTGCCGAAATCAGTTCTCATGCCCCGTGGATCCCTGTGCTCCCCCCAAACCTTCTCAAAAAGCTAACCCTCACGAATGTGCCGATAATGCGCAATGTGTCCGAGCACAGTCCCCACACGATGATCCGGATCACACCTGTGCTTGTCCCAAAGGACTCCTGGGGAATGGCCTGAAATGCCTCATGATTGATGCCAAGCCAGAGCCCAAAGTCACATTCGCAGGAGAACCAACAGAGGAAACCATCAAGGCAAACTATTGTGGCTGTACTAAACCAACCGTAGACGCTTGTGCCGGATTTCCGCCTTGTCGAGGTAAGCTTCATGAATGTGGCTTGCTGGTGTGGCTGATATTGCATCATTTCCTGATCCCTCTTTTTTCCATTTTCTCTTGATTTTCCTTTTCAACTTAATACATAATCCAATCAACAATATACTTTCAGAACGGCACCAAGTCTGTGTTGTATCGGCGAATGATACTCCTCATTGTGGTTGCAAGAAGGGATTTGTCAAACACGAGACTTATGGATGTGTCGACGAACGGCCTCCGGAATTGAAACTAAATGAGGATCCATACAACGACAAAACGCTTCGATTGAAACAGGGAGATGTCTACAAAGAACACGGGGTGAGGATCGCGGATGCAAATGCCGAAGACTACGAACGCATGCTAAAAATTTCCTACAGTGCACCCGTCACCCATGGGTGTTTGACCGAAGTTGGAGAATTCCATGTCAATTACACCATCAAAACGCCTTGGACCGATCCTTCTTCGGTCGTTGTCACACGTCGAGTGATTATTGAAGATATCGATGAATGTGCACTGGATCCGGCCAAATTCGAGTCAACCTGCCCACAACTGATTCCTCGCTGCGACACGGATGCCGGAGCAACCTGCAAAAACACCGACGGTAGCTACACTTGTGACTGTCCCAAATTTACGTCCGGAGATGGATTCCTGCCAAACGTTGCATTTCCGACCGGGGCCGCTCCAGAGGGATTCAAGGGAGGAACTAGTTGCACGGACACCAGCAAACCAATGATTGAATTGAAAGGACCCAATCCAAAGATATTTCGGATTTGTCCTTGCGGCGGAATCTCGGGTATCATGAACGGCAAGTCGACTGATAACAATTTGCGAGATGCCCAACGACAGCATTATGAGAGCGATATCAAGGTGAGTAATGAAAAATGAAATCACGTACTGTTTCGTTTGAGAAAGATGATGGTTTTTGTGCTCATTTAATTTCTTTTCCGCTCCAACAGGAAATGATGAAGTCAACGCAAGGAGCTGAGCTTTGTGCCACTCACGATAACATGCGTCCACGCCCCGTGAACTGTATTTCTGCGTACGATGAGACGTATAAAGGACTCGTCGATTTGTCATCGCGCGTGGAAATCGGTGATCCGGTTCAGAAAAGCCCGCTGCATTGGGCTGTTCCCTACAACGTAAAGGACGACGCTGGGAACGCGGCAACAACTGTATGGCGAGACGTTGTTGTCGACGAAGTCGACTTCGAGTCGATGGAGCACAAGATTCGAGAAGACGTGAAGAAAGCCCACGATATCAAACTGAAGAATGCGGTCGCCAGGGCTGTGGAAGAAGAGCGAAAACGAATCGAATCCACTGGCAAACAACGCAATCGACGAGACATGGCAATTCACACGTGCCCAGCCTGTCCCACATGCGGCGAAGAGACGAGCCCCAAGTCTGTTGGTAGCAGTGATGATCGCAAAATTGACGTGGACGAATGTGAAAAGCTATGTGATGCACGGGCAGGGCAATGCACCGCGAACTATTCGAACTTCGCTATACGCATCATGATTTGGATGGAGAATTGGGTTGCACCGGAAATTGCGTCATATATCTTGCTGGGCATCCTGCTGATTGGTGCAGGGACCTTGTTTAGAGTGCTAATGCTATTCTTGTTCAAGCAAGGCGACTTTGCTTCAAACGGAGACTACATTGCCAGTGACCAAGAACGAGCGATTGCTCTGCAAAACAGTGTCACATATTACACGTCTCCACAACGACAACCACAGAACCAAATGTCGGGTCCAGTCGGCAACACGCCAGGATCTGGATTCGGAGGAGCGACGAATGGAGGACCACCTCGAATGTCCATGAGTAATTCGCAGCCAGGCAGCGACTTCTTTTTCTCACCATCACACAATTCACCCCATGGCGACAACAGCATGCCCTTTGGCTCTCCCAATAGCGGTAACAACAATGGAGGTGGAATGCCGTTTGGTTCTCCACCCACCATGGCAAACGGTTCGACGCCACTGAACAGCAACAGCAACTATGCGAATAGTTACGAGGAACACTATCTGAACACTCCAAGCCAAAACCGCATGGATCAAATGACGCCAGGCAGCGATCATCTACGACAACGCCGGTCTCCTGGCAGCATTTTTTCATAACGAGCCAGACACACATACGCAACATGGTTGGAGGGAGAAAATGCAAATAGCTGCTACGAGTAATTACTGTAATGAACACATCTTTTGGGACTAGCTTCGTGCTGAATTCAGTTGCCTATTTTCGAGCAAATTATTGTAGGAGTTATCGTGGTGAAACATGATGGTTTATTAGTTTGGCGTTTCGCCATCTTTTGTTTTAGTTTGGTGTTTTGCAATCTTTTGTATTTACTTGTAGTCTAGTCACAATTGATTTCTTCGCTCAAGGCGTGCCACCAGGCACGCGAATGTTGCCCGCATTTTGAATCGAATTCATGTCCAACCCAGCAGCTTCCCAGATCCGAGCCATGGCTGCTCCCGCATACTGCGCAATCAAAGGATCTGATTCAAACTCGGCCATGACACATTGCAAATAGGCGTATCCTTTCTCGCCAGAACCAAACCCGCATGACTACAAAAAAGATTGTAGTGGTGAGTGAGTGTACACCGCTTTGTTGTATCGATAGGTGTCCAATGGATAGATAATTGATGGGGAAGATCACTTACTTCGACCAGCGAAGGGCTGCCGCCCATGTATACGTCGTTCACAATAATGGTCTGCAAAACCATGTGCTTTTGCGTCAGCTCGAGCTCAATGTCAGGGTCTTGAAACAATGTTGCAACAGGTCCAGTTTATTGTAAGCCAATGAATGTCATGCAAAAAAAAAAAATCGACCTGTTGTCATGAACAGTACGGTACTTACTGTGAGGCAATTTGGCGCATTCCTTTTGGATCTTCATCAAAACATCAGGTTCTTGCATTTTGGAGGATACCTTGTGCATAATGTTGCGTGCATCCACAATGGAAAGAGTTTGAATATTGTCCGTGTCGAGATCAAATGCAGTTGCCAATAACTCCTGCCAAGTCTCCTGTCCGACTTTTTTGTAACTATCCCTTTCCTCGTCATCGCACTTGTGTTGCATAAATTCTGCCAAATGTCGGGTGTAGGTTTCCAATCCTCGTTCGTCGCCAGGGTATCCGAGTCCACTAATGACAAAAACTTGGGTAGACAGATAGATTTCCATCATGCGTTGCCATTTGTGCACCAAGGGCGATTCCGTGTCATTGGACAGGGAAAGCAAACGCTGATTGGAGATCCCATGCCGCAAATAAAACAGCGTCGTGTCTTGAATGGACTCGGCAACGTCGCGGGTGATTTCGGCCGGTACGGTGGGCTGGAAGCTTTGTGGATTCGTCGTGGAAAAGAACCTTGGTGCTAGTATTCTTGGGGGGGCATGATGCTCAAAGAGAGCTCTTGTGGCAATGGTCTTGACTGCAGGCCGCGCACGAAATGCCCTTGCAATGGAGGAGATCATGGTCCTTTTCAGTTTTCAGTGTGGCTCTAATGAATTGTGTGGCTGCAATGCGAAACTGTTGGGAACCAAAATCTAGAAGATCTTCAAAAGATCTCTCGTGAGATGAACCCTTGATTTTAAGAATCATCGGCTTTTATTTTCATGTGTGTGTTCATCCATCATAGCTACCGGTAGACACCGTATCTATGATTGTAAGTGTTGGCTTTTCCAAAAGTTTGCCTTGGCCATGTCTACACTCTGGCCACAGAACATTTTCCCTACAATCCCTCACAAGAAAGAAACAATGGACGAGTACATTGCTGACATTCAACCTCAAGACCGCCACCAACTTGTGCAGTCTTGTCCCTTGTTGGCTCAAAGCAACAGTGGTGTTTTTCGTTATCGGCTACCGCTACCACCAGCTAGCTAGCTGGAACCTTTGAGCAGTCTTGTAATCTTAAAATCACACTACTATAGTATTTGTATGTCAACATTTTCAGCAAACAACACAGTGCAGTTTTGATGTAGGTCAGCAATTGTATGACATTATCACTGGTCATCCGTATACGGTACCGCACTACATGTAGTTTACCGGTACACCTTACGTACCGGTAGGCCGTGCTGCCTTAGCGTACACAGTACAGCTCGCTCCACCGCAGCAAAATAATAGATGTCGCAGGTTGTTTATTTTGCAGGTAGAGCACCTGGCTAGCTAGGTCTCTGCGTAAGGGCGGAGAACGACTACAGCACAAAAATAGTTGTGTTGTTCAGGTCGTGATTGCGTCGTAGCAATGGCCCCACGAAGAAAAAAAACGTTCGAGTGGGGTGCCATTGCATCTCATGTTGCGTTGGGGAATGAGTAATGCCTGACAGAGATGTGGACATACCAACCTTGTCCACGTGCTCCGCTAGCTGGCTAGAGTGCGCCGTGGACAGTTTTCTTGCCTCGCTCGGGGATACGCGTGATTTTTCCCGGTTCAATTGGCAACAATACGAGACCATCTAGCGACCGGTAGATGCCGGCATAGTCTCGTGGCGGTGTCAATACATGCCAAGCTCCGGTAAATTACGGAGTGCTGGCTTTGAAAAAGGCTGCACTGCAGTTCGATTCGATTCATGCCGAAGTACCAGCATCAGCATCTTCTCGCGAAAACGAATTGTCGACGGTGACGCTCGCAGCGGTGGAGACTCCATCTGTGGGCCTCCTTTGTGGAGCATCACTCTGTTTATTGGCTTCCTTTGGAGCAGACTTGGCGACGTGCAAGCGAAAGCAGAGGGCGGAAAACCCTTCCATGAGGACCTTGCACTGGTCGGCAGTTACAGCGGTAATGTCAACTGTGCGCTTTGGGAAGATGAGCGCTAAACTCTTGTGAGCATTGGCAGATTCACACTTTTTGCGAAGGATTTTCGTCCCTGTGTAGACTGCGTTTTCTGGGTCAGGGCTCCAGGAATGCCGCACTTCCCCGCATTGGGTGAGATCCAACTTGGGAGGTCTTTGACTGCTCCTTGGTTCCCCTTCGGCAGGTTGCCAAGTCAATGTGCATCCATCTGGAAGAATGTGTAGCACACGCAGACGAGACTTGCACCAGCGTGACCGTCCGTGCTTTACGACCGTAATCCCCGATCGCATCCGGACCAGAAAGCAATGCACAATAAAGTCTGACGCATCCGTGCATCCAGTAGCAGGCTTAAAATTGGGAAGGGAAAAAGGCATACGGACAGAAAAGTCCTTGGCGATGTTCTTATTGACATCTTCTCCCTCAATTCCCTCGTTGGCAACCACAACAGAAGCTGGAGCATCAGGTTCATTTCCAGAAAGACCAGCGTAACTGTGGCTCGTTTTGTCGTCAACAAGCTGCACCGATGACGCGGACTCCTCGTTGGCAGCTCGTCGGTGACTTATGTCATCGTCCATTGAAGGCTGAAGAGAGATTGATGGTTTTGAAATTGAATTGTCTAGGTCGGCTTCAAAGCCCTCCTTTCGATTGTCGATGGTTGTTTCTTCCATTTCTTTCTTACTGCAAGGTGGAAAGAACGGCAAAGCTCCAGTTGGAATGTTTTGGGCTTGTGGTGGCTGATGCTGCAGAGGACGAATCGTTGGTCGTTGCTGCCGGTGTTGGTCCATGGTGCTGTTCAAATGCCTCGGGCTTGCGATGGAGACACTTTACCGTACAGCGGACAGTTTTCACCGGAAAACAGATAATGTACGGTACAAGTAGAAAGGTAGTTAAGGTAAATATAAGGTTGAAGTACTGTAACACTGTGCCCTGAAGAAATACTTAAAAAATGTATTTTACCGCATCTATCTGATTCCAAAGATGCTGCCAAGACCGTGGAAAGGGACCTCTCCATCCTCACGGTTTGAGTCTACGTATGTATTGTCACCTAGCTAGCTACCATCTTAGCTATTATTTTCCCACCCGACGAATAACATTATTTTTATTGTGTAAAAAGTTGACCTGAAGTGTGCTATCCATCACCACAACAAGCATCTCTTCCAAAAAGGTTCCCTTTATTGGTTTGCTCCCGAAGCAAAAGTGTGCATACAAACGAGTCAACATGATTGGAGTCAGTTCATCAAAAGCTTCCAGCTGGTTGTTGACAGTGACCTGCATCCTTGCATGGACTGCCATGGTTGTGGAAGCTGGTGGCATATCTGACCATTGGCGTTTCGTGGATATCTTGAACTGTCATCATCATCAAGAAACAAGGAAGTCACTTTCGGAAGATCTCTACAATCACAAAGTTAACGATGATGATGTCCAAGAGTCTTATATAGCGCAAAGGCTGAATCATTTTGCACCCTCCCATGGACGGTCCTTCCATCAAAGATATTTCTATTCCACTCGATTCATTATCGATTCTCAGAAGCAACAATTTGCCTTTTTGTGCGTTGGCGGAGAAGGACCCGCATTGACCAAACAAGTCTTGGTTGACAGCGTGCATTGTTCAGGGGATATGTTGGAACTGGCGGGCCGACTACACAAGAGTGGGCATAGTGTTGCGTTGTTTGCCTTGGAGCATCGTTACTACGGAAAATCCTATCCCGGTGAGATCGAAGTGTTGCTTTTTGGCGGATTGCTTTTGTCTTTTGTGCCCCAGCCTCATGCAATGCTTGTCTTTCAAATACTTTTAAAAAATAACGATCATCAGTGTTCTACAATGATAGGAATGAAACAGTGTCACCCGTGACCAACCAAAACCTGGTTTATCTGTCTTCCCGCCAAGCGCTGTCGGATCTGGCCCATTTTGTACAACAAAAGACGCTCGCTGCTCATTCAAACAGCCTTCAATGGGTCACCTTTGGGGGCAGCTATCCTGGAATGCTGGCGGGATGGGCTCGTCTCAAGTATCCTCATTTGATTCACGCCGCCGTGAGCAACTCGGCACCCATTCAAGCCAGTCTCGACATGCCATCCTACAATGATCGAGTGGGATTTGACTTGCAGTATGAACGTATTGGTGGTAGTCAAGATTGTCTCCAGATATTCCGAGAGGGGCACGCTCAACTCGTTGCCGCGGTGGAGGGTGATGATACCGGCTTGAAACAAGACATTGCAGACGCCTTTCACCTGTGCAATGCCTCTATTCTTTTGGACAAGCAGAATGTCCAGAGTTGGATAGGTGATGGAGTTGTCATGGTACCCGCCCAATCCAATGATCCCACCTGCAATGCTGATCACAATCCACTCTGTAACATTGACAAACTGTGCTCCTTTGCCCTCCAGCAGCAGCAGCACTCGAACGGCACATCGAACGCTTGGCACGTTCTCGCTGCCCTGGCCAAACAGCAACAACACAGTGATGACTGCTTGGATATCAACTGGAATAAAACATTAGACTACTATGCCGATCCCAAAAAGGGAGTACAGGGTGGCCTACGATCTTGGTTGTGGCAGACCTGCACAGAGTTTGGCTTTTACCAAACCTGCGAAGAGGACTCTTCCTGCCCGTACGCACGGGGGTACCATACACTGGAGGAAGACTTTGAGATTTGCAAGTATGCATTTGGCATTGAACCAGAGGAAGTTCGAGAAAGCATCCAACAAAGCATTGAATATTATGGGGGGTGGCAATTGAAGGGGGGCAGTCGGATTCTGTCCGTCAATGGAAATGTGGATCCTTGGTCCACCCAGGCGCGGGTCAATAGTACAGATGAGCTCTTGCCCGTCTATAACGCCAAGGGGGCCAGCCACCACTTTTGGACTCACCGGGTCAAGGATACTGATGATATAGAGGTTCAGAAGGCTCGCAAATTCATCTACGAGACTGTTCAAAAGTGGTTGGGGCTTGGCAGTGGTACGGCAGACCTTCTGTAAGGATAGATTATAGTAAGCATGACAATTGTTTTCCAAACCACTACGCTGCCTGCTACCTGGGCCACACTCCACACTCCAAAATACTACTTGAATGTGCACTGCGCTTTGTGTGAAGCTACTGTATCTGTGAAGCTCCTGAAGCACGAAATGCAAGCTGCCTTGGTCGAAGAATGAACCCCAATGAGGATGGCCCCTCCACGCCTGCTCGGACTGTAGGTTCCTTCGTCGACTCATCGTCTTCTGATTTCCTCTTACCTTGCGCCTGTGACGCCTCCACCGTCGATGACTTCGACGAGGAAGCAGCCGCGGCAAGGATCGAAGCCAACGTCCCATCCTGGATTGGAGCGAATCCAGTTGCGGCACTAGTGGCTTGTGTTCCTGAAATGAGATTCTGCACTCGCGCCGGATCCAAACAAGGCTGGGCGGGAGCGGCTGGTAGACCAGTCGTTTTCCCATTATCTGAACGGGAAAGAGCCGCCAACACATCTGCCAAGTTTTGGCTAGACAAACCGTTAGCCTCGGCGGGTGGAGCAGCTGCCATGGAAGCACGACGCGCTTGGTTATTTCCATCTTGACCGATCGAGCCTGCAGACAATAATAGATTTCCAAGACGGCCATCATTGAGGGCTGTTGTCAGGTTCGAAGCGGGGTGCCTTCGCTGTTCAAGCAACGCCGCCAGGGCAGATGCCTGTGACGGCTGCTGCTGTGGTTGCTGCAAACCCAAAGCTGCTGAGATGGCGGCTTGAATTTGCTGATCTTGGTTGCCCTGTTGCTGTTGCTCCAAGAGCCCTGCGAGGTTCGATTGGAGTTGCTTCGTACTGCACCGATACTTACACAAAGCTAGCTTGGTAAAACAATTGCACTTGACTAAAGGTTTATAGTACGTGTAAAAGGTTTCGTGATGGAGGGACTTCTTTCCAGAAATTGGCTTGTAATGTAAACATGTAGATGTGAAAGAAGTAAGGCAGTACCATAACAGTCGCAAGCCAACCTGACGCAACAGGCACCGCTTTCTCTTTTCGCTCCTTAGTAATTAGTCGGTCGTCGTTACGTGGAACATGAGGCACCCCTTAATGTCGCGATGTCCGTTGCGCAGCTCCCGATTTCCTTTCTTGCCTCCACCTCCCTTTGAAGCTTCGAATGCAAGAGGGTCCCGACACTCAAGATTGAGACGGAACGTTCCAATGCCATTATTGTTGAGATCGAGAATGGACTGGAAGTAAGGCAGGTGTGCGGGATTGTCGTGGTCCGCTAGTTCTGCTGAGAACTTCTTGTCGGTGTTTCCTTCGTCAACTTTAAAGGTAACGTTTTGGCTGTAGGGGTAGACCACCTCGTTCCAATCAACAATCGACCCAGGTGCCAAGTATTCCAAAACGCCTTCTTTGCAGTTATCTAAAGCGATCTTCTCGTAGCTGCCATCTTCCAAGATGGTTCCAGTCAGAAATACCACGCTCTGCGCATGCATCGACAAAAAGAGATGTAAGCCAACAACGACTTGAATTGCACCAAGAACTGAACTGTACATGTAACGTCACAACTTACATCAAGGTATGTTTGGCGCTCATCTCCGCTCGTATTGTACACAAATGTGGGAAGCAAAGAGGTTGGATCATACGACGTGGTGGATCCAACCATCGGCTCAAACTCCATTGGACATGAGTGGATGGACTGTTTCTCGGTGTGCACGTTGCATACTCGATCTGAAACTGAAAAATCTCGCTCAGTGTCAACAGTACAGCCGTCCTGGAAGACCACAGTGTCACTGTAGCTTATGCGGGTGCCAAGGACCTCTGCGGGGTCACAATTGTCGGCAGCGACTGGGAAACCTGTGTCGGCGATAAAGCTGGACGATCGGCAGCTCTGAATCCGGGCTTGTGGAAAGCTCTCAAAGTACGGCTTCGTCATGTCTTGGCGGACAATGGTCTGATTCAAAATGTCTTCCTGGCCACATTCATCACGGACAAACCATTTCCTGACGACGTTCCATCCCTTCCAGTTGCCGTTTCCGGCTGGATTTTCAGGGCAGCCAACATAGTCAATACTCAAATCCTCGTATCCATCTTCCAAATTGGTGGCGCATGTTTCGATTGCTAGATCGCCTGGAATACCAACCGCAGGTGCAAGCGAACCTGGGTCAGGTGGTACTTCGGCCTCGCACGAAACCGTGATCAATGGCTTCACAACAGTAGTGTTGATCTGCGGGGGCACCGACGTTAGAATGAGCAATTGGGACACAGTGTTGGAATTCTGGCCCAACGAATCTTGATAAGTATGCTGTCGAACAAGCTGGCCTGTTCCACAGGCTGTCGCTGGGTCCTGTCCATTGACGACAGTGTCCACGGGCGACAGATACTGGCCTTCGCTTATAGCGGAGGGACACCCGCTTACTGAAGCATTGCCGAAAGAAATAGTTGGTCGGCCCAAAACCGAAGGTCCTCGAGGTGCTGTGCAGTTAAGTGTCTTGTCGCTGATGGTACTGGCATCAAGGACGGGGGGTGCACACTTGCAGTCCTTGTCAAACATTCCTGTGCCATCAATCATATCGGCGTAGTTGCAGGTAACATCTTCGTCAATGAGGCTGTCGCAATCGTTGTCGACCCCATCGGCTGGATATCCTGCCGTTGCGATACAGTCCGTGGGCTCCTTGGTCATGAACTTTGTGATCTCATCGATAAGTGCCTTCTTGGTAGTTTGGATAAGCTATACAAAACAGACAGCTGGTTAGCGTGACGGAAAACAGGAAATCGTGCACCATGTCACGGAGCACCATCATCTTACCGCCTCCTTTTGACTTGAGAATGCTGAGGCGTTGTCAGGGTTGATAAATTCGCTTCTCGTCTTGTTAAAGTATTCTCCAATCGATCCATCAGCTTGAATTCCAGGAGTTGAGCAGGTAACCTCCAGAGGTGTGTTGCCAGCTGTGTCTTCATTTTCGCTAAGCCATTTGGTGGTGCATGTAATGCTATCGAGGTCCACTGTGTACGTGTCGCCCTTTAATGAGGAGAGGTTGTCATTGAGGACCTGGTCGCGAAGAGATTCTGCCAAGGCTCGCTGAGATTCTAGGATTTTGGCCGCCGCAAGCTTTTCGAAATGGTCCTTGACGCAGGCCTTGAGGGGAACCTTTTCTGCGATAAGTTTTTTGACTGGCAGCAAGCAGGCTTCTGGAGTGCACGTTGTTACACAAACGTCCTTACACTCATAGCCCAAAAAACTACAAATGGGGCTGCAGATTATACCCACTGCACCGTCGCACCAACCAACGCAATGCGTTGTACACTTTGCAGGTATGCAAACCTGGGTCTCGGTGTAGATGTTGTACAACGGACACTTTGTCTTTGCGTCCTTCTCTTCTGGATCCACCTTCTCTTCGATTCTTGTCTGGTCGAAGTCGAAAAGGTTGCCAAGCCCAAGGCCCGTTGAAATTGCGTCAAGAACACCTTCCACGGCTTCCCCAACATCGTTCGCAAAGGCAGCCAACTCTTCATTCATGGCGACGAAGGCTGGGCACGATGTGGAACCCGATGGGTCGCCCAGTAAACGGGTAATTTCGGCTTCTGTACAATCCAAAGCCTCCCCAACTGCTTTGGCAGCGGCCTTCACGGCAGTGGTGGCTGTTTCCAGGGCCACCTGAGCCCCGGCCACAATCTCCTTGCCAAACTTTGCAACCTCTTTTATTCCTGGGCCCAAAGCGGTTGCAAAAGTATTAGCTATATCAAAAACCATTCCGCCAAGCTCCATGGAGACTTGCAGTGCTCTGCCGTCAATACCAAGTTCCTGCGCAAGCGGCCCAACCAGGTCTTTCCCCTCGTCCTCCAGGTAGCGAAGAGAGTTTTGAATGTTATTGTTTGAAAAGACTTTGTCAACGCCATCCAAAAGGTCGTCTACCCCAACAAGGATGACCTTTCCTGTTGTGCCGACGCCATCAGTGATATCTGTAACAACGTTAATAACCTTGTCTCCGACCTCAAAGAACTTGGTAACAAACTGCTTGAAGACCTTCTTGAGGTCGTCAGGGATATAGGTCACTTCGCAGTCAAATTCGGTGTAGTTGGTGTAGCAGTTGATCGTGAGTCTTCCAGTTACGGCAAGTGGAATGTTCACCAAGAAACCGGTCCTATTTTGATTGATTGTGATGCCTGCATGCCGAACACCAACATGCATGAAACACGGGGAAGTGAGCGGCCCAAACTGGACAAGAAGACGACCCAATAGGCCCCCAATACCTTCGACCCCTGGATAGAACACAACCCACGTCACGTACCTGCACCAAACAAATCGTATACGCTTGTGTCGAAAGCCTTTGGAGGCGTGAGGAATTCGTCAATGCCAAGATTGGTTTTGAGGAACCCAGGAATGGGCTTGAGCACGTTCTTTACGAATCCATACAGGAAATTGACCAACTCCTTGGTGAGCCCAGACAAGCCTGTTGTTCCAGCAAAAAAGAACAGGCCACGACTGTCATAGCCAAGGACAAAAACAAATGGTGTGTGAGCGCGTCATTGCCACAACCACACCGTTCCCTCGTAATGCATTGTATTGTACTGACGCTATGCCTAGGTTCACCTCTGTATTGGTGGTGGGATCTGTCGTGACATGAGTCTGTGGTCCAGTGGTGAAGAAACTGTTGATTTGGATAAGGTCTATGTTGATGTCTGGGAACAATGCACCAAGGGTCTTGTTCTTTCCGTCCTTGGTCTTTCCAATGGAAATTTTGGATACTTCAATTATGCCGGCAAGGTTGCCAGACATGACCCCGTAGGCTGCCCACTCGTCGAGGTTCAATTCGTCCAGGACATCCCATAGATCGACCGAGGAGTCGTTAAGGTTCTGTGGAGTAAGGGCCCCGATGGCTTCGAGATGGAAGAAGGCAGGCGTGAGGACTAGTCTTCCAAACAAAAAAAGACGAGTGGGTGTCGACTTCAATCCTATTACCTGTGTCAAGTGTATTCTGAATGTCAGCCCCAGTTGGACCTCTGAAGCCAAGTCCTCGAGTTCCCGTCAAAGTGAGCCTGAACCAATCGCCAAAGGGTTTTCCGACTGAACAAGTGACAAGTGCGTTGGTAAGGGGTTAGGATCCGACTTCATCTAGCTAGTAATTCATAATCAGTCTCTCGCGTAAAAGAAAAGAACTCACTAAGCTTCTTTCCATTAATGCCAATTTTGAGTCTGTCATAGATTGTGGCTTGGACATCGTATTTGTAAAGGGTGTAGCCGTCGTAGAGCACAATATCTATGTCAAAGGCGTTTGTCATGGAGTATCCTGTGCAAGCCAGACGAGAAGGCAGTGCACATGGGTAAGTTTCGAAGAGCAACTAGAAACCACAATAGGACATACCAGTACCCTGCATTCAACACACGTACCTGCCGAGTATCCACCAAGGATCTGATTCACACCAGAAGCAATACCACTTCCAATTCCAACAGTTGCCTCGGCAGTGACTAGACCGGTAAGACAAGAGACCCATCCTCCACCAATGGCGAATGCGATGGAAGGCAAGGGGATCTCGGGTGGAAACTTGGTGAAATCGAGATCACCACAAAAGGAGGCTGCGATGCAAAGGTCGAGTTCAACGCCTCCTGTAAAGGCGCCCTTACAGAGAGAACTGGCGACAGGAGCAGGAAGCGTAATTGTGCTAGCCCAGGTAGTCCACTTTTGGTTATCGCTGCAATGAGGGTGAGGGTGAGGATGAGGATGAGGCAAGGATCAAATCAACCAGTGTGAGATGTGAGGCGAGATGAAGACTTAGTATAACCTGAGGGCCTGAATGAGACCTACCCAACTGGAATATCATTACAGCGACCAATCATGGAGCCACTCCCTACTCCTGTCTGTACAAGGTTCCCATCCGACGTTTCAAAGTCTCCAACACAAGCTCCAACAAGATTAAAGTCAACGCCAGCGGAGTTGTTGTTGAAGATCTTTCCAACAATTTGTCCACTGATAATGTCTGCGACTGGCTTGATGATATTCCTGAGGAGGGAGGTAACCTGCTGTCCTTCCTCCAAGCCAGTCTCGTTCAGAATCAAGTCGGCAATGTTGAGTCCAACGTTCGCGAAATCTCCGAGGGCCGAGCCTGGGTTGGTGCAACCAATCTGATACTTCGGGTAGTCAGCTTCGTCAACGTCAAAGATACCGGATATGATCTTGGAGACCAGGCCGTACTGACCAGGAGCTGCACAGGTCTGGAGAGGATCTGCTTGGACAAGGAAACGAGACGTTGCGTTGTACTTCTCGTGAGGGGTAAAGCCACGAAGCCCCCCACCGCTTTCATCAGTCCAATTCGCTGACAGGTTTAAGTCGTTCAAGTCGCCATTGGCCGCTGCGAGACCAACGCCGCCCCCATGGAGGGAGGCCAACAACAGCAAAACAGAGGAATAGAATGCAATCTTCATGCTATCTAATTTTGTGAGCAGAAAGATATTATGAGCTATGAAACTAATACCACTGACATCGGCTCTTATTCATTATTAAAATTTAGTCAGCTTTTGGCTGTTATGCAAAGTGTTGGCCAATCTGTGAGTTGCATAAGTACTTCGAGGGCAATCCCCTTAAGCGACTGAATTCGCTATTGTGGATTGGTGGCCTCCCTCCGCCTCGTCTCCACAACGATCCATACACATGACATTGTACCAGGTGCCAATAGTCGTTACCAGCGCGGGGGTGGTAGTACAGGTTGTACAGGGCGCTAC